ACAAGAGAGAGAAAACGGCAAGACTTTCGTGAAATAAGTATTCTAGAACTTAGGAGAGTTCATTCTGATTTTATATTGTTCAGGATGCTTTAGCCTTTAGGAAACTAATTTCTGATTCAAATATTCACTTACTGTAAGATACGCTGTTTGGTACCGAGTGACAATAAAATACCTTCAAGAAATCAAAACGGCTGTCTTCAACTCTCACTGCATCAGCACTAGGAAGGATGTCTACTGTCACGAAGATGGAAAAACGATAAACGCCTCCATCAAGCATTATTTTCATCTGAGTGGAATATCCCTACTGTTATTCGGAGTAGTCAAATGAATGAAGTGGAAAATTAGCGTCGGATGTGATTGTAAGAGTAGGAGGAAGGTAACAATTCATTCCAGAGGCGTAGTTGGCAAAATAAACAGAATACGGACACATTTGTCATCTTCCCAGTTCAGGAAAAGAGAATCAGGATGTCCTTGAATGTCATGTGAATGTTCGAGAGATTGATTGTATGGATTATTTTGATTTTTTCACGGACTAAACATAAGCTCTACAGGAAAATCCATAAGGCGCTCTAAGACCGGTGCCTGTGCGAAAGTAGCGATTCACATTGGATTTCAATCGCTGGAGATTAAATCCATTTGGAAAAACGTTCTCAGGAAGTTCATTTCACTTGAGCGCAGTTCTCCAAATGGAAAAGTTCTTAAACAGTGGAGCTCGAGGTGTACTGAGTTGAACCTCAGAACGATGAGAAGCCACAGTCCGTCGAGTATTTCTGATATGTACCACTTTTAGGGGAATCAAATGTGCCAAGTCACTTGAACATCTCCCGTGAAAGTATCTATAGAGTGAGAAAAATCTCCAACCTTTCTTCGATGTTTCAGACCATCAAGGTTGCGTCTCCAATGAGGCGGATGGCTCTTTTCTGGATGGAATCCAGCAGCTTCAGGGTATGCTTTCATCATTTTCTTCAATTTTATTGTACACTTCGTATATTTCTGGCACACAACTTTCTGTTACAAATATCATGAAAAAGTATTGAAGAATCTTTCCGAATTTGTTCACGCCATCACTTGCAACTTGTATGAAAAGAGATGTTCAAATATTCTTATCTCTTGATCGATTTCAATATTTTATATCGTTTATCACGTATTTGGTTCCATAACCTGGATGTTGAGAAACTTGCATCATTAAGATACTGGTTTTTAGAAGATTTTTTGATATAGATGGAAAACTATGTGGAAGCTTTTGGGACGTATTTACCATTTTCATTTCATAACATTTTGAAGGTTACAGTGAATTGGTTGAATTTTCGTGGACCCCCGCTTATAAATTGTGCACTCTCATTTTTTGGTCACGCCAACGTAAACCCCCATCCAGTTCGTCGTGGACCCCTGGGGTCCATTTGGACCACTTTGGGAATCACTGTTCGACAGTAAAGTTTTGGTGAGTTTTTATTTTCGCTTATATTTCTCCATTCAAGAAGGGCGTAAGTTGAAATAAAAATAAATGTTCCATATGTTGCAATATGGGATATGTCTTTTGCAACAATTACCCAAACTAGTGGATAATTTGTATAACAAAAAGTTAGAATTCAAATTGAATAAAAGATTTCGGGTTGCTGGTGATGAAACTAAGACGAATATTCCGGACTTTGTACACCTCTCTAAAAATTATTTGGACTCACCACCAAGCGAACTCATATATATGCACATATTTCAGGACAATATAGTCATTATAGTGTCTTACATTCTACCTGTTTCAACAAAATCTTTTGGCTATGGCATTTCGGCTATTTCTGATATCCAATTCATATTCATTCAATTTTTCTTCTCTTTACATAATTGCAAATCTGTTAATACCGTTTCAGACAATTGAGGTTTCAACCTCTAACAGTCACCAAGAAAGAGTGTACACTTTCACGGTCGTTGATAACAGTGTCAAAACTATTTCCCTGATTCATCGGCCGTGATCTGCAGGTTTAATGCCTGAAGTTTCGCATACAACTGCGGTAGACAAAGCACTGTGTTATGTGCTGTGAGGACGTCGTGTGCTACCTCATTGCCTTTCAATCAATCAATCAATCAATATTTCCATTTTTTGACATGGCTTACGTGTATTGGAATTGTCAATTGACAGATAAATTAATACATTGAAATAAAATAAAAATTTACATCAAAAAAGAAAAATAGAAAGGTTAAAATAAACTTACACTGAAATTTACATCACACGTAGTCAATCACAAATTATGAATTTGTGATTATAACTAATGACTTCGTATCTTTCTTCTTGAAGAGAGGTACAACTTTTCCTGTTTTGATGCTTTGTGGAAATGCTCCACTTTTGAAAAACATATTAACTAAAGTTGTCAAAGGCTCTGGGATCATTTTCAGTACTCTCAACAACACAAATCTCGGAACAGCAGATTTTTTGTTTTTCAATCGAGAATTCAAAAGAGTGAACAATTCATACATCCATGTATAGAGTTTCAAATTGATTACTTCCTTCCTTTCTTTGGAAGATTCTCTCATTTCCTTTTTTTGTATCAGATGGAGTAGTAAAAAGCCAAAAACTTTCTTTCCCAAAAAATTAATCACTCCTAAAAATATAACCCCTTCAATTCATGAATTTTTATAAAATCACATATACTATAAAAACATTTTTCCATTGAAAAGTTCTTTGAATGAAGATAATTTATTTATATACTTCAATTCTTTTAAGAGATTGTTGAATATTTTGAAGCCAAAATGATCAGGAACACATGCATTTATTTTTCTTTTTTCAAACCTTACATGAAATTGTGGCATTTTTCTTGTTCCATAACTATGAATATTCGAATTGGGAATGAAAGTATTCTTATTTTCAAAAACATAGACACACGTTTTGAAAATGAAGAGACATGAAGTGTCAAAACACGAAATGTTTTGAAAATAGGTCTACACGATTCTCTGTTAGAAACTCTCGCGATATACCCCAACATTCGTTTTTGTGCAATGAAAATATCTTTTGCCCCATAGGCAAATGCCATATCTCAGTCTCAATTCGATTTGGGCATAATAAACATTCACCATTTGTTTCACTTTTAGAACAGATCGTATATTAATAAAGAGATATTTTGAAGAATTTAGTTTGAAAGATAATTGTTGGCAATGGAATTTCCAAGAGAGAGATGTTCATCCAGAAAGACTCCCAAAAACCTAACCTCTGCATGTGTATTCTGCATTGTGATTTCACCAATTTTGACTCCAAAATCATCAATATTTCTTTGGCGACAGTGACATCTCAATACCTGAGTTTTTTGAATGTTGAAAAATAGGTTCCAACTATTTAAAAAAGATGAAACTGCATGAATAAAAAAAAATCTGTTTTTCCGCTAACCAGCTGTCGCACCCCTACGAACGACAACCCTCAGAAGTCGAAACTTGTGCGAGCTAATGATTAACGAGGTCTTACCTTTTAATGTGTGATTCCTAACACGGGTTGGACGGTAGCAAGTGAAGATCGATCGTTCAGACTAGGGCTTGAACCACCGACCAACACGGCAGTCAATTCGAATCAGTGAACAAAGCACACACGCCGAACCGCTTGGCTACCGACCAATACATTCCAATAGATTTCGTTCGTAGGTATTCATTATGTGTAGAGGACAGAAACAATGAAAAGTCGTCTGCACACGCAGTATAATCGGCAGTACTAATTATCGCATCAAGATATTTCACATACAAAATGAATAGAATTGAACCCAAGATCGATCCCTGTGGAACGCCCATTTCGATTTCCCTACTATCCGAGCGTATGGTTTCAATTTGGCTATAATGTTGAAACTGGAACGTTACTATTTGATTTTTCTTTGTTGGAAATGATTAAATCCAGTTTAATGATATACCTCTTATGCCATAACTCTCCAATATCTTCGAGAGGTACAACTTTTCCTGTTTTGATGCTTTGTGGAAACGCTCCACTTTTGAAAAACATATTAACTAAAGTTGTCAAAGACTCTGGGATCATTTTCAGTACTCTCAACAACACAAATCTCGGAACTTCATCCAACCCAGCAGATTTTTTGTTTTTCAATCGAGAATTCAACAGAGTGAACAATTCTTTATCTAATCATAGAAAGAGTTCAGAAACATACTGTAACAATTGAAGTCATTTTTAGGTAGAGAAAATTCATCAATAAATATACTTTCTGTCAGTTGTCTGGGCGCATCTACGAAAAAGTTAAATTTCGCAGCAAATTTATCTGGATCCTTTTCTAAATTTCCATTCAAGTTCAACTCAATATTTTTTCTTTCTCTTCGTTTATTAGTCAACTCGGCCACTACTTCCCAAGAGGCCTTCATATCATTTTCAGCATTCAAAATACGATCTTGATAATGACATTCACGCTTTTGATTAATCAGAGAGATGTGTTTCTTTTTTTACTTTTTGTAAGCAGTGCCCAAATTTGGGTAACATTTTTGCATTGTATAAAGATCTTTCAGGGCTAGACTAGAACGAATGACCTCGTTATTGACCCATTTTTTTACCAATAATGCACTGGGTAAAAATTTGTATAGGAAAAGCCTCATCGAAATGATACATTATTGTATTATAAAAAAATTCGAAGGCTTCCTCAAAAGTTTGAGCAGAATCAGTTTTGGACCACTCTTCAGTATCAAGTATATTTTTGGATTTAAAATGTATGTTTTTATCATTCCCTCTGTATATAGATTTTTTATTTATTTTATGTGATGTCTAATAATATTTTTAGTTAAATCAAGTTTGTTAGTAGAAAGAAGATGTTGATTACAGTTGTCAAATAAATAGAATTTGAATACGTCAGTAAGACTTTATTTGATAATAAAATTATATCCATCCCATATTTAAAATAGTGGCGACCGTGACAGGACTAAATTATTGACGATGGATATTATGCAGAAAGAAAGAGAGCAGCTGCGAAGACATTTTCGCAATACTAGCAGCGACCTAGATGTAGCCTTGAGTACGAAGCAAACTAGTTCATCTTCTCACAACGCCAGCTGTGTATCTGGTGCATACGCTGCGAGTACTCGAGTAAGTTTTCTGAATATAATATTTTAATTTTTTATTTTTATTTTTGATATGCCTACATATTGTATTGAAGCTTGATATAATGATTTCCTGTTTTCATATATTTTAGTGCACATAAAAAATGTATTGTATCTGTTAGATACGACGCGATTACATTTGTATATTTTGGATGCATTTATGATAATGAATTTTTTTTTTTTTAGAGAAAATGGCAGCCAGTAAAAAATTTTACAATCTAGAAAACGAAAAGGACATTGAAGAAATCCATAGATTGTTATTTGACGAGTCGGACGATGAGAATGTGAGTAAAGGCCAAAGTGAAAGTGCGTCTACTTGTGAGACCAGAACGCAAAAAGATGATGTAGGCGAAGAATATGATACAGATGAATATGAGACAATAGAAGAGCGGCAAGAGAGCTCAGAATCTGAACAGAGCCATGCTGATTCATCTAGCGATGAAGAGGATGAGGCTGATTTTTACATAGCAACAAGAAAAAAGAACAAGAAAGTTGTTGAGCGGTTTTCCCAGAAAAAAAAATCCTTTTTCTGCTGCAAAAAGAACCCCAAAGCAAAATTTAATTAGAAAACTTCCTGGTGTTATTGGTCATGCGAAAAATGCTACAAGTATATTAGAAAGCTGGTCGTGTTTCTTTAGTGAAAACATGCTAAATGCCATTGTAAAATTTACCAACCAATACATTGACTCTGTCAAGGAGAACTATAGTCGTGGGCGAGATGCCTTACACACAGACATAGTTGAAATGAAAGCATTTTTGGGACTGCTTTACATAGCAGGACACTACAAAGGAGGAAGGTTGAATTTGGAAGATTTTTGGGATGCGAACGGATTTGGCATCGAAATGTTCCGTATGACTATGAGTCTAAAAAGATTTAGATTTCTATACCAAGCGATCAGATTTGATAATCGAGAAACAAGAGCAGAAAGAAAAAAGTATGGTCGCCTCGCACCTATACGAGACATTTTTGAACAATTTGTGGACAATTGCAAATCTTTCTACTCAATTGGTGAGAATGTCACACTGGATGAAAAGCTTGAAGCATTTCGAGGAAGGTGCTCCTTTATTCAGTATATACCTTCAAAGCCAGCGAAGTATGGAATAAAGATTTTCGCTCTGGTAGATTCAAAAATGTATTATACATGCAATATGGAAATTTATGCGGGCAAGCAGCCTGAGGGACCTTATCAAATCAGCAATAAGAGTTTAGACGTTGTCAACCGAATGATAGTTGCAATAAATAATTCTGGTCGCAACCTTACTGCTGATAATTGGTTCAGTGATGTTTCCCTTTTGAGCACATTAGCAGATAAACGTCTATCATATGTTGGAACCCTAAAAAAAAACAAGTGGCAAATTCCCATGCAGCTAAAAGATATCAAGCACAGAGAAGAGTATTCCACTGTGTTTGCATACAGAAAAGAAGAAACGCTGGTATCTTATGTTCCACAAAATAATAGTAACAAAAAAAATGTGTTAGTGATTTCCAGTATGCATTTTGATGGCGCCATAGATGAAGAAACAGGAGCGAAGAAAAAGCCGAAAATAATAACATACTACAACAAAACTAAAATAGGAGTTGACATGGTTGATTAAATGTGTTCGATGTATAACGTGGCTAGAAACACGAGACGTTGGTCTATGGTGGTATTTTTCTCAATGTTAAATGTTGCCGGTATACATGCACAAATTATACATCTGGGTAATGGATTTGATATGCCACCACGTAGAGTGTTTTTGAAGCTTCTTGGGAAAGAACTCCTCCAAGAGCACCTCATTCTAAGAAGTACCGAGGGATCTTTGCCGTTAACTTTATCCTTACGTCTCAAGGAGTTAACAAAAACTAATACACCTCAGGAAGAAAATGATGACAGACATGTAGAAAGGAATCTGGATAACGTTTCTCGTAAGCGATGTAAACCTTGCCAAATAGATAAAAAAACACGCGTAACAAAATACACGTGTAGGACGTGTGGTTCATATCTCTGTTTGCAACACTCTGCTGTCGTGTGTTTGGAAGGATGTGCTGAAAGAAACTTCAATGCTGAAGATAGCGGATCAGGATAAAGCAGCTGCATATTGTGCAATCACATTTTACATATTATATTTTATTCGTTTTTTTGGGATCCAGTTTTTGTTCCATTTTGTAAAATGAAGCTTTTTAATAAAATAGTGTACGTGGGATATAATTACAGCCCACTTCAGTAAATTTTAGCAAATATAGGACACATTTTCTAAAAAATAATATGGTGTATCTGAGAGATACGTCGCGAGCAACTATGTCTGAATCTGAACGCGAGTAGTGCAGTGTTAATGTGCGCACGGAAACATTTTCCAATAATGTGTTGTGATTTAAATTCGAAAAAGGTTCAACCAGATGAAAATTCCAAACAAAAATTGGAAAATGTTTTGACAAGTAATTTTTCAACTGACACACTCTTACAAACTGTCATTGTCAAAGTGACAAATAATCATAAACATAAACTTGTCAGGGCTTTGCTGGATTCCGGTTCTCAAAGATCATATGTTTCATCGAAATGTGCAAAAGATTTGAATTTTAAGCCATCAGGAAAAGAAAATATTATACAAGGTGTTTTTGGTGGTTTTCAATCATCTCCTAATCTCCATAATATATACGATATCGCAATAAGTAACATTAAAAATGAGTTCTCTTGCAAATTATCAGTATTGGAACAGAAAAAGATTTGTAATTATATACCTAGATTGCGAGATTTAGCTGTTATAGACTATTTGAAGAATAAAAACATTATTTTAAGTGATATTGGCATAAATAATCCTCCACAAGAAATTGAATTGTTGCTAGGGGCAGATATTTTTGGAAATTTAATAACAGGGCATATTGAAATTTTGAATAATGGACTTGTTGCCATAGAAACGTATCTTGGATGGACTATAATGGGACAACAAGTTCATAACACAAGTAACAATCTTATTTTTTCCGGTTTCACTGATTTTTCTATTGCTGACTTGTGGGAATTAGATGTTTTGGGTATAAAAGAGCCCGCAAATACCACACCAAAAGAAATTATTGATTTTAAAACGGAAAAGTATTTTAAAGAAACGGTTTTGCAGACAGATGATGGTAGATATCAAGTAAATCTTCCTTTGAAAGAAGGTCATCCAAAACTTTCTAACAATAAAGAAATAGCTGAAGCAAGATTATTGTCTTCATCAAAAAAGTTAATCAGTTTAGGAAAATTTGAAGATTATAGTAAGGTTTTTGTAGAATGGGAATCATTAGGTATTATAGAAGAAGTTAGGGGAGATTCAATTAATATGCCAAGTCACTATTTACCTCATCGTGCCGTTATTAAAGAAAATAGTATTACTACTAAAATTAGGCCAGTATTCGACGCATCAACAAAGGATAATAACGGAAATTCACTGAATACATGTTTAGAAAAAGGTCCTAATCTGTTAGAATTGATTCCTTCATTGTTGATAAAATTCAGAATAGGACTAATAGGAGTTACATCTGATATAGATAAAGCATTTTTGCAAATTGGTGTTAATCCCAACGAAAGGGACAATTTGAGGTTTCTTTGGTTGGTAGATGAATCAAAAACCGAAAAGAAAATCTTTAGGCACTGTCGAGTGGTTTTTGGTTTGCGACCTAGCCCCTTCTTGTTAGGTGCAACTATTAGTCATCATTTAGATAGGGCACCAATTCATTTGAAAAACACTGCTGATAAATTAAAAACATCGTTTTACGTTGACAACTGTGTCACCAGTGTCAATAATATTGAAGAATTGGACACTTTCATTAGTCAATCAGAAGAGTTAATGTCGATTGGGAAATTCAACCTCACACAATGGGTATATAATTCATCGGATAATTTTGCTGGCGATTTTTCCAATGAAAGAAACGTGTCTGTTTTAGGTATTTCATGTTTTATGTGATGTCTGATAATATTTTTAGTTAAATCAAGTTTGTTAGTAGAAAGAAGATGTTGATTACAGTTGTCAAATAAATAGAATTTAAATACGTCAGTAAGACTTTATTTGATAATAAAATTATATCCATCCCATATTTAAAAGTATCAAGTATATTTTCAAATTGTATGATGTTATCCTTTCGGAAGCTTCTTCTCAAACATGTTGTTTGTTTCGATTTCAATTGTTTTCGATATGGATCAATTCCCAAAAAAATTGATCTGTGATCTGATATGTCATTATCAAATACCCTACATGTTCCTTCATTTTCAAAATTTATATAAATTTGGTCGATTATCGTGCATGATGTGTTCGTGACTCGTGTTGGCCATCTTCTATCTGTAGAGTAGGGAGGGTGAGTGTAGACTCACAGCACTTAGGCTACATGTGACCCATTGTACATCCTCCCGAGGAGTTGTCCTCTTAGGTCATCGTCCATCCTGCCCTTTCCAGGAAGGTGAACAGGTCACTAGGAGACATCTCCTTTATATTGGTAGGTGTAAGCCAAGACTCGCCGAACACACACTCTCTTTGGCAACCTTGAGGGGTCTCACGGTGGCCTACACGAAGGCTTTGGGAGATGCAGCGATATTACTGTCGTTGGGGTTCCCTCCGTGGTGGTGCATAAGTGAGGGAGCTTTCCTGCAGGGGCAGCCAGTTCTTTGTCTTTATTCAAGCCGGAGCTCTTGGCATCCGCCGCAGGAAATGCCCTTGCTGTTGGAGGTGATGTGCTATGTCCAGCCTCATTCCAAGTGGTAGACTGGGGTGGACATTTCTGTTCATCACCAGCCACCGCCTTAGATTAAGGTGAGCACTTATGTCCAGCCTCGGGATTGGTTTCTGTTTTTGTTGTTTGTGTTGTTTCATTCATGTGTGTTCCTACGAGTAGCAAGAGAAGAGTTGGTCACCTCTGGCAGAGCCCCGCATTACCAGAGGTAGGCTGATTACAGTGAGGTTTCGCCCAGTTCCCCAAGGGGATCGTTCGTGACGGCATATCACCCTGCGGCCATTCAGCTGTCGGCACGATTCCTTACACCTCAGCTTGGGTAGGCTGGTCCACGGGAGCATGTTTTGCAAAGGCTTTTGGGGGGTTTTAGTTCCCTTACCCTACTTATTTCTGCCACTGACCAGGAGTCCGGCGACCCCGTCCGTAAGGCCACATTGGCTTCCCGGACAGGGCCTCCAATTCCCTAGCCGTTCTCCTATCCACCACCTGGGGACGAGCCTGATAGGTAGCCCAATCCACGGGTGTTGGCCATCTTATGATCGGACTCAAGTTCAACCCCGATAATAAGGTGGCCAATGTAAGAAAATTGCTGTTTTTGCAGATCTCAAAATTGAAATCACGACAAACAATCAAGTTGACTTTGGACTGATAGAGATGGTCCAACAAAGAAGGCAAATTTAAAAAAAATATACGTTCATAGCCGCAAGGAGATCGATAACAATTCAAAATGATATTTTGCGAGTTACCCACTTTGAATGATACAGCACAATGCCTACCGCAGATGTAGGCGAACGTTTCGTGAAAGTCAGGCATAGAAATCTATGCCATTAAATAAGTGTCAGTACAATAGAAATGAATCAATATGAGAAGTATATGACGTTAAATTAGCTAGATTTTGAGACTTTTTTGATAAACGATTTTTTTATCTTACATATTTTTTTTAATGAGAAGTATCCTATGTTACTTCTAATACCTCCAAGAACATGTGTACAAAATTTCATGATGATCGGTTGAGTGGTTTTCGCGTGAAACCGTAACAAACAAACTTACATTCGCATTTATAATATTAGTAGAGAAGTAGGGATAGTAGGGAAGTAGGGAAGTAGGGAAGGGATTTTGCTATGACGTTTCTTACCTTCAAAATTATTGTTTCCCAAATATGCACTGTGCCTCTTAATTGGAGAAATATCGGGCGACGACACAGTGAATGAGGCATTGTCGTAGCCTGATTTCTCACTTTGAAGACCTTGTGAGTATTCTTGAGAATTGTGATTATACCTGAAAACGAAAGAGGTTGACATACGAATCCTTCAAAAAATGCACCGATTTAAAATTGATTATCCGTGTTATGTATCGGGTAACTGAAATAGATTAAATAAGTAACTTGTTTCAATTAAACTTTGACAAGAACGTCCACGTAATGTCCAGTTCCATCATCGTATCCTACTTGTAATTCGTATGTTATTATACTGTCTCTAACAGTTTGAAAAAGTATTTCATTGTGGTTTAATTACACCTGATATTAGTCGTTGTTTGTTTTATATTCGTGTATTGTGAATAATATGAAAGTAAAGTTATGAAAAAGCTCATAGAGCCATTTCAGTAAGTTTTAAGACTTGTCAAAATTTTTCAAAAATGTCAATGTATTGTGATTTCATTTCATGAAGGCAATATTTCAGAGTCACCACACTCAATATTTTTCCAGGAACTGAGATCGTTATCTATTCAGTCACATTGGGATTTTTTAGATAAGTAGCTTTCGAATAATATTTGTGATGTATTCCCAATATATTCAAGACAGTATCACAATTGTTGATGAGAGATGGTGTCAAAGGTTTATACAAGGTCTACAAGGACACAAAGGGATTTTTCACTTTTACCGAATGTGTAGATCTGCCTTCTTTGAATATACATTTTTTTAAAGAATATCTCTCAGCAAATTATATCAACCTGTTTCCCAGAACTTTTTTGAAAATGTTTGAAATTGTGTGGAGTTTTTTATGTGAATGATATACAGTGCATTCCATTTAAAACGAGCCACACTGAATAACTTTCGGTACAAAGAATGCAGAAAAATAAAAAACATGTCAACCATAGTATAAAGGGGGTCACATTTTGACACATTCATAATTGATGTTGCTTCCCCTATTGCACCCCCAGAGTATGTCACCAATTTTTTCAAATGGATCACCGTATATTGTTTCGCATTATTAGATGCTCCATGATAAGCAGATTTCAACAAAGTATAAAACATATGGTCTGAAGCTTATGGTTCGGGAGCTACAAAAATAAAAAAACACTTCAACAATAGTGAACAGGGGGACATATTTTGACATATTCAAATTTGATCTAACTTTCCCCATCGCACCCTCAGAGCATATCACCATTTTTTTTAGATGGATCAATCGTTTTGCATTATAAGGTGTTCCATGATGAACAGATTTCAATAAAGTAGAATACATTATGGTCTGAAGCTCATAGTTTGGAAGCTAAAAATTATTTGAGTTGAAAACAAGCCACCCTGAATGAACTTCTGTACAATCTGTTTCCTAGGTTTCATAGGTGTTTTTGTGAAGTATACTTCAAAAAAGTCTTATTTTGCCTAGTTAAGTATGAATTTAATATTCTCTTCATTTTGTATTTGTCTCATTCTACAATAACCATTACCTACCAAGTGAAGTTACAATTGGTGTTTCTGTTTTTGTAAATTCTTACGAAGCAATGGTTTATGCACCTCGAGAACGGATTGAAATAGTGAGTTTGTATTACCAGAATAATGAAAATAGTGCTAGAGCTGCTGCCCGTATGGTCAATGATAATCATCCAGAAAGAAATGTACAACACAAATACGTTTCATAATTATTTACCAAATATATGGAAACTCTGGATCTGTTAACAATAAAAATTATAACCATTTAGGAGTTGTCAACAACGAAGCTGCAGTTTTGGGGCACGTTGGACGTCAGGAATCAGTCGTACAAATGTTTTCAGGATCCTTCATAAGTACAAATTTCATCCATACAAGATTAGACTAGTTCATGAATTGAACGAAGATGATTTCGATAGACGTATCGAGTTTTGTGAAAGTCTCACTGAACACATTAACCGTTTTTCGGATGAATGTATTTAGTTTGAACTTCACAAACTGAATGCTTGGACAGGAATTTTAGGTGACCACATCATAGGACCTTTTTTATCGATGATAATTTGACTAGTGATAAATATTTGGATATGTTGGAGGATAGAATAATACTGTGCATCAATAAGGCAATTGAGGAGGATATAAATTTATTCGAAAACGAAATAGTTTTTCAGTAGGATGGTGCACCTCCTCATTATGCAGCTCCAGTTCGACAATTTCTGGATGATCATTTTCCTGTTCGTTGGATTGGCAGAAGAGGTCCTACAAAATGGCCACCAAGGTCTCCGGATCTCACTCCTGTAGATTTATTTCTAGGGGCTCATTTGAAGTCTGGAGTGTATGAGATAGAATCAATAACATTAAAAGATTTGAGAAAGAATATCATGAGGCATTGCAGAAAAATAACTCCCGAGATTCTCAACCATGTGAGGGCGGCAATGGAAACTCATTTGTACCATTGTATGGAAGTTAGTGGAAACGTTTTTGAACATTTACCATTGAAGAAAAAGTTTTTCTTCTCATTGTCCAGTCATTAGATTTTGATTCAAGAATTAAGAAAAAACCTCTTTTTCTGATTTATTGCTTCCATATTCGTCCCTAGCAAGAATATTTCAAAATGTGGCCTCTTGTATAATTGTTGACCTGTTTTTTCATTTTTACAGCAAATCATTGTTTCAAAAGTTATTCAGGGTGGCTCGTTTTCAACTCAAAGAATTTGTAACTCCCGAACCATAAGCTTCAGACCAGATTTTTCATACTTTGTTGAAATCTGCTCATCATAGAGCATTAAAAAAATTGGTGACATGCTCTGGGGGTGTGATAGGGGAAGTAACATCAAATGTGAATATGTCAAAATGTGTTCCCCTGTATAGTATTGTTGACGTGTTTTTTTATTTTTCCTGAAAATCATTGTACCAAAAGTTATTCAGGGTGGCTCGTTGAGAGTACCCAAATAAATTTGTGGTTATATCTCTATATACTGTGTGAGATTTTTCTGAAGTATTTAAGATCAAATCATACATCACAGATCGAAAAATGATACCATTTAAATTGGTATCATTTTCTAGAAAATCTATTCATCGTCACTGTGAGAATGAGTAAACCATTACTGTCTGAACGAAATCAATCAACCTCTTCTTGAACTTTGTTTTCTGGGTTTGGGTTTTCATTTTCAGGTGAAGTTGATGTTTTTTTGATTACCTTAGTGAAATTTTGAATAATTCGTAATAATATGGTGCTTATGTATTTTGACGACGACCAGTGTGACTTGCCCTCAAGTTATCCTATTAGCACCTTAGTTGCATTCTTGTTGATTTTGTTACAGCATCATAATACTTGTCAATTCTAAAACTCTTTCAGTAGAGGAAATTCTATAGTTTCCTGTGATTTGACAACCTCTCTTATAATATGAACCAACCTTCAAGCGAAAAAATCACGCTCTGCTACTAACGTTTGGCTGAACAGTTCAAAAGCTAATATGGATTTTTTTTTAATTTAAAGTTATCACCTTCGAGGTCGAGAAATTCGCAAAACCAACATCACCGTCAATGGCGTCTGCCCTCATTAGCGTCTGCTCGCGTTCGGGTCGCATCCTTTAAAAGCCTGTGATATTACAAATTACACAACTATGGTGTTAACCACGGTCAATTTTTTTGAAGAGTAAAATAATTTTCAAAGTTTTTGGTGCAAAGTTATTTTTATTTTTTGTTAACACCGAAAATTACTCAAAATTATATAGTATTGCAACATGAACGTAATATCCAGTAATATTAAATTACAAAACATCAAAATAAAATAGGTATTTTGGAACAAAGTCATTGATTTTCCGGAGATTATTTTGGAGAATTATTTTTGACAAGAAAATCTCCAGAAAACAACAAGTTTGTTCCGAAATACCTATTTTATTTTGATGTTTGGTGATTTGATATTATTGGATATCAAGTTCTTGTTACAGTACTGCATGATTTCGAGTAATTTTCGATGTTAATAAAAATAAAAATAACTTTGCACTAAAAACTTTGAAAATTATTTCATTCTTCAAAAAAATTGACTGTGGTTAACACCATAGTTGTGTAATTTGTAATATCACAGGCTTTTAAAATAAACCGTCTTATACAGGATGCTGCCTATTTATCGTTTTAGGATATTTTTTTTCGTAGTGCCAATCAAAAAAAATTGGTAAAAAAATAAAGCTTCACTTAGATGGCCATGACTTCAAATCTAGATGTATTTTTCAATGCTGAACAACTTTTTTAATTAACATTTCCCGAGATTTTTCAAAATAAGAGTGCTTTACTCTTGTCTCAAAATCAAATACTTGAAGGCTCCTCGTATATTACGTGTGTTTCACTGTATTTTGTTGTTGCATATACAGTTTTAGGGGATGCACTAACTTTCATCAGGTATAAGTTTTGTCGAAAAAACCTTAATAAATAAGTTTCCCATATGGTGCATACTTTGGGGATGACACTGTATAAGCTAAATCCGTTCAGTCGTTTAGGTGTGAAAGAGCCACGAACATACATACATACATACATACATTTATCCATCCAGTTTCATATTTATAATATTAGTAGATATAGAATATAGATATATCCACGAATAAAGATATAAAAAAATTAAGAAGCATCAATACACCGAATTCTAGCTACTTCACATTTTTGTCGTTGAGTCAAAATGTACCTACCGTAAAATGGGGTGAATAGAAACAGTGGGGGCGAATAGTAATAAAACTTCCAAAATAGTTTTATGTCACATTTCAGGGGGTAAAAGTAGTGGTTAAGGGGTAAATTTCTTGTTGCAAGTTGATAACACTCTAAATTTGAAGGAAAAAATAAGTTTACGTGGTTGGCAGCATTGAGAGTCAGATTTATTGCAAGAATAACACGTTTTGTTGTTTTGTTGTGGAATTGACCGCGGTGGTAGTGCGCCCGACTCACGATCGGAAGACCGTGTTCGATTCCTGCCTCGACCAGATATTTTTGTCGAGATAATTTATCTGGTTGAAACTGGAATGACTCTGCAACCGTGATAGGAATCACACGTTGAAAGGTGAGACCTAGTTAGTCCTTAGCTCACACGAGTTTCTCAACTCCTGAGAGTTGTCGTTCGTATGGGGGCGAGAGCTGATTAACGA